CCCCCCCCCCCCCCCCCCCCGACTTCTGTGCCTAGAGCAGGGTACGGGGCTGCAGCCATGCCAGCCCAGCCCAGCCCAGAGCGTGGGACCTGGCACAGGAGGGAGTGCTGTGCCATCATGGCTGCCAAGGTGAAGTGCCCCTTCCCACCCAGCAGCAGCGGGGGGCACAACTCCATGCCACTGTGCCTGACTATGGTGATGTGGCACTCCCCTCCTGGGTCCAGCCAGCTGGGCCACAGAGGCAGCTCCTGCCTAGAGCTAGTCCAGCCTGGCTGCAGCCCCGCATCATGCTGTGGGCATAGAAATATAGGGGATAGCTTCCCCCACCCTCTCCATGCGTCGCCTGTGTGCCCTGCCCCCACAGGCTTACCTTGAGGGACCTGCTGTCTACCATCCTGCTTGGCTACCACATGCGTGTGTGTGTGTGCACATGTACGTGACATCCCCTGCCCCCTGTGTCCTGTTCTCCTGAGCCCCAAGCAGCCACTTGCAGGCTGGAACTCTGCCAGCCTGCAATGGGAAACCCATGGTTTCCTGGGGTTTTTCTTCTGTAAAGGAAAATATCAGTATTTTCCCACATTTTTCCAAGACAAACAGAAAACCCAGATCCCTGGTCATCACACATAACCACTGGATTTAGTTCTTGAGTTCTTAATAGTGTCTGTGGACTAAACTCATCTGCCTGCTGAAACTGTGCAGTAGTTTTAACTTTTGGTTATGGTCAAGAGTTCGTTTTTAGCCGGGCAAACAAACAACCATTTCTGGAGCCATCCAGTCCTCAGTACTGATCTGTAACTGTAACCTAAACTTGCTGAGTTAAAGATGGAGAGCTGTCTCAGACTTTCTTAAGAAGTCCCAATCTGTTTTTCAGGCATGCAGAGGTGATGAAGAAAATAATTGAAACAGTCGCAGAAGGTGGGGGAGAACTTGGAGTTCACATGTATCCTTTCCAAGTACATGTATGCTGCCTGTCTCAAAAGTTTCTTGTAGTTCTGAAACGAATTTGTTCTAGTCCATTTTTAAATCTTTATTTTGCAGGTGATGTGTGAGGCCTACTACAGTCACTCTACATTTGAGGTTGGGCTTCAGGGTGTGCACTTTCTAATGTGCAAGAGCTAGAGAAGAGTATGCATGTGAGCAGTGTGTGAACAATAGTCGGGGAGGCACTGAGGTCCCAGAGGGGAGGGATATTGGCTGTCCAAGAAAAGTGGGTCGTTCCTTAAGGAGATGATCCTCCAAGCCCAAAGGCAGGTAATCCTAACACGAATCAAAGGGGGCAGGAGGGCTCAAAAGCCCCCATGGCTCACCAAAAGCACATGGGAATGTCTCCTGGCTAAAAGGGAGGCGTACACCCAATGGAAGGGAGGGGCCATCACCAGGGAGGACTATACCTGGGTTGCTCGGAGCTGCGGGGGGCGGTCAGGAAGGCCAGGGCGGAGGTGGAACTGGGACTAGCAACTTGGATTAAGGACAACAAGAAGTCCTTTTTTAAATACATAGGGGGTAAAAAGAAGGTACCAGGTAACATGGGGCTTCTGCAAGACACGCTAGGAAATCTGGTCATCACACCAGACAACAAAGCTAACCTATTTAACAACTTCTTTGCCTCCGTTTTCCTGAGCAGGGACTGGGTCACCCCCCTCACCGGGACCCCTGTAGGCCCCAGGGGAGGCACACCCAGGCCAAGGGTCAGTGAGGATCTAGTCAGGGAATTTCTGGAGGGACTGGACGTATTTAAATCAGCTGGTCCGGACAATCTCCACCCCAGAGTGCTGAGGGAATTAGCTGATGTCATCGTGGGGCCCCTGGCACGGCTTTACAAGCACTCATGCTCTAGTGTGGTGCCAGAGGACTGGAAGATGGCCAATGTGGTTCGTTCCCATTTTCGAAAAAGGGAGGAAGAAGGACGCAGGAAACTATAGGCCAGTTACCTCAATCCTGAGTAAGCTTTTTGAGAGAATTATCCTGGCGCACGTCCACGAGGGGCCAGCAGGGGAGATTATGCTTAGGGGCAACCAACATGGGTTCATTCGAGGCAGGTCCTGTCAGACCAACCTGGTGACCTTCTATGACCAGGTCACCAAATCCCTAGATGCAGGGGTAGCAGTGGACATAGTCTTCCTGGACTTTAGGAAGGCCTTCGACACTGTCTTTCACCCTGTTCTCATTAAAAACTGGGGGACTGCGGTGTCAACACCCACACAGTCAAATGGGTCACCAACTAGCTGGAGGGCTGCACCCAGAGAGTGGTGGTGGACGGGTCATTTTTGACCTGGAGGGATATGGGCAGTGGGATCCCCCAGGGCTCGGTCCTCGGGCCCACACTGTTCAACATCTTCATCAGTGACTTGGACGAGGGGGTAAAAAACACCCTGTTCAAATTCACAGATGACCCTAAGATGTGGGGGGATGTGGGCACACTAGAAGGAAGGAATAGGCTACAATCAGACCTAGACAGGTTACAGGGGTGGGCGGACGAGAATAGGATGGGATTCAATACCGACAAGTGCAAGGTGATGCACCTGGGGGGAAAGAACCAGCAGCATACCTACAGGCTGGGGAACTCCCTTCTCGTCAGTGCAGAGGCAGAAAAGGATCTTGGAGTCATTATTGACGCCAAGATGAACATGGGCCGACAGTGTGGGGACGCGGTCAGGAAGGCCAACCGCACCTTGACATGCATCCACAGATGCATCTCAAGCAGGTCCAAGGAGGTGAACCTCCCCCTCTATGCAGCACTGGTCAGGCCGCAGCTGGAGTACTGTGTCCAGTTCTGGGCGCTGCACTGCAAGAGGGATGTGGACAACATGGAGAGGGTCCAGAGGAGGGCCACTCGCATGATCAGGGGACAGCAGGGCAGGCCCTACTAGGAGAGGCTGCAGGACCTGAACCTGTTCAGCCTCCACAAGAGAAGGCTGAGGGGGGAATCTAGTAGCCATTTACAAACTAGTCAGAGGGGACCCACAAGCATTGGGGGAGTCCCTGTTCCCCCGAGCACTACCAGGAGTGACAAGAAATAACATTCACAAGCTGGCTGAGCTTCAGACAAGACATCAGGAGACGCTACTTCACAGTCAGGGCGGCTAGGATCTGGAACCAGCTTCCAAGCGAAGTGGTGCTGGCTTCTACCCTGGGGGTCTTTAAGAGGAGGCTGGACGAACACCTTGCTGGGGTCGTCTGACCCCAGTACTCTTTCCTGCCATGGCAGGGGGTTGGACTTAATGATCTGCTCAGGTCCCTTCCAACCCTACAAACTATGAAACTATGAAATAATTTTATGCTAGTTCATAGAATGTGCAGCTGACTGACAGAACAGTGAGAATGACTAGAAAAGTGGTGTGAAACACAAGGCAATGAATGACCAATGTAGCCAAGAAATCTTCAATAGGTACGGAACTTTTTTTTCAGTTAGGAATTCGACTTTCAGAGTGCCATTCGGCACATTTCCCCCCACCCCCTTTTTTAGGTTTTTTTTTGACACTGGGATCTCCTGGGGTCAAAAAAACCCCTCTGTGCTGCAAAGTAGCAGCATGCAGAATATCTGCATGTGCGTTGTGCCACTGCAGATGGGTCTGTGGCACCATGTACCATATGTTGCCACTTGTCTGCATGAGCCCATTAAGTCTTCAAATTATTCTATCAGTTGCTTTTACTGATAAAGTGGGCCAGGGGAAAGAGGGTTATGGGAATGACCTCTCTTTTATCCTGTAGGGTGCAGAGCTGATGCAGGGGCACAAACTAATGCTGTCAATATTGTCACCAATGTAGATGTGGGAGCAGAGCTTACAGTTGCAGCTCCTAGGGTAGAAAGCTGCTGAAGAGAGTATGGGCATGCATGAGATCACTAGAACAGCAGGAGCCTAGATTTGCCCAGTCCTCTCAGCAGATAAGCAAGGAAAATCTCTTTTGTCTTAAGGGTTTTAATGTTGGATGAGATCTATGTTCCTTTCTCTTGTCCCACTAACCAGTGGGAACTGTGACTTCACATGTATTGATCCAGCCTCAAACTAATGTGGGTTGGCGTCTTGCCACTCTGCCAAGTCATGCCTTCAGAAGGGTCTGTGCAGATTCCTTAATCTTTTGAACCCCTTTGAAGGTGGTACTATCCATGTCTGTCAGATTGATGGGGTTAGGACATACAGATTGGAGCTGGAGTCTAATTGAAAGCAAAGACAACCCCCCCCCCCCCGCACTCTGGGCTTCAACAACTCAGCCTCTGGTTTTTGAGGTGCCAATACATTTTTATTAAGAAGTAGTTTTTCTTCAAAATTATGCAATTCGTTTTATATTTTAATGACTTATTCTCCAATTGTGAGAAGTGATCGAACAAAACTTCACATACATTAGTAACCTGCAGTTTGTTCTGATGGGAAACGAGTCCTAAAGCTGATAACCAGCTAGAGTCTTAGACGTTATCTAAACAGGAAAGTTTCAAAGGTATAGGCTATATCAGCTTAAATTGTTAACTAAATGTGGTAGGTCTTTCTAACCTTCCACTTGGCTCTGGTCTTAATCTGGTTTTATGTATGCATAGTGTAAGGCTTTCTTTATGCAAACTAGATGTAGATTGGACAAATGATTTGGTGTCTAAACTTTAAACTGAAAGGTTGTTTATAGAAAGCAACTCTAAGCTCATGCAGTGTAGCTTTAAACAAAATGTCTTTATTATTTAACAGGGTTAATGTGAAAATTAAAGCACTGAATTAAACTCAAAGTAGCCTCAAAACAATCTTGTCATCTGAATGTTTGGACAAATATGACCCTAAATTATCAAATTACTCTATTGTTTTATCTGTTTTAAGGAAGATACAGCACAGATTAGTCTAATGCTACTACTCTAATTAGTCTAATTACTACTTCTCTCTGTGTGAAATACTGACTAGGTTCGGGTCTTTTTGCAGTACTCTTACTGAAATACCCAGCAGTCTTCCTTAACTACAGTTTCCAGGTACCTTCTTATATTCTTGAAATTTGTACAAGCAGTCATTCCAACAATAGAATATGACTACACAAGACACTTTACAATGTAATTATAAGATTGCTGAAATGTTCTATGCTGATTATCAATCTGGATTTTTTTAAAGAAAATAGCCCCCATATGCAACTTACTCACCATTGTACACAGTTTCTGTAACATTAAACTTTTATCAAGTTTATGCATCAAAATAATGTTCCAGTACCAGCCTTTTTAACAAAGAATTTTGTGTGTAAAATAAACACTTTCATTCCTGTACTTGCAATATGTCTAGAAGTGTTTTTTCTTGTATCATAGGATTAACTCAGGGCTACAACCTCTTTTCTTGTATATGACTTCCTTATTTACAACCAGCTTTTTTCATGCTGTTATTGCCTTCAAAACGTAAGGTCAACACATGTCCCAGTATGGGTTGACCAGTCTTTCGTTTATTTCTACAAATAGTTGTAATATTTTTTTTATTCAACTTTACTTTTACTTCAGTCAATGCATGTAACCAGCACACATGTTTTGGAAGGTTATATTAAAAGTATAGGTATCAAAAGAAACATTTGAAATTTGACACAGGCATTCATGTACCAACTCAGGCATGGAAACAATGCTACTGGAGAATTGCAATGAATATAGCTGAGAGGGGAGAGTAAAGACAACTATTCTTGACCAAATCCTAGACTAATGTTTTTCTGCTGTTTTTATGAACTTGTGATTAGCTAACAATATTTGTACACTTCTCTCTAGGAGGAAGTTTGACGAGCTGTGTCTTATAGGTGTTACTAGTAAGAATTTTTAATTCAGTAATTTGTTCTTGCAACTTCCACTTCTCCAGTTCCTTCAGAACCAACTGAAAAACATCAACTGACAATATACTCCAATATTCTTCTTACACCTAAGCCATGCCATCCTCTGGCTAGAAGAGAGGTCCCCTGAAGTACTTCTGCACACTGAGATGAATCCAGGAAAGCCTGCTGTGACAGGATATTTAAAATTCTTTCCCCCTAGAAAGGATTTTAGGGATGGTAGTATTTTCATCAGTATCTCCACTTGCGTACACTGGAGTCTTGTAACAAAAATTACATCCTTCTAGCTCAGGGCTGATAGTTAGGGACTCTGTAAAAGCAGTGAGATTCAGGCCCTGAGGCTTTCTCCTGGGCATAGAGAGGAAGACTGGTGGTAACACTTGATCTTGTAATGGCCTTATTTCTGATCCCAGTAAAAAATAAAATAAATTAGTTCATCTACTGCATTTTTATTTTCTTGGGATCTGTCACCAGTACAGTTACTGCTAGCTATGCAGTTGCAGTAACACAGAACACTGCCCAGACTGTTTAAGCCATTCCTGAAGCTGGATAAATACTTGCACAGTTAGCTTGTGCTGTGGTGCATTAGTTCTAGCTTCCCATACCAACTGTGCACCTTTAGAGAGATACCAGATTCTCTAGTCATTGCTTCTTCCTTCTGTCTGAGAATTCCTGCTGAGATCATTGCTATAATGTGTTCTAGGGGGTTTTGAGGGGCTTTTGTTGCTCTAATTTAGTCTTTGTGCACGCAACATCTTAAGTTTCTGATGGGTGTAGTAATACGCAGCTGGGACCCAGGACTCTTGCCCATGAGTCATGTGCTTATTATGCTGCAAGGGAGACCAGAAGGAAGTCCTGATTCTGTTGAAGGCAACGAGAGTCTTGCTACTGTCTGCAGTGGAGTTTCGTGCAGGAAATTTGGATATTGTGTAAGATAAGCAATTTTACAAAAGCTGGAATACAGAGCAGCATACAACCCCCCTAATCTGGACAATACACCAGCTCTCAGTGTAGGTTGAGCATTTTAAAAAATTATGAACAGAAAAACAACACAAATTCCCAGTTATAAATCTTCATTAAGGCACAGGGAAGGGAAAAAATACATATCCGTGACTTCTAAGTTACCAGTTACACATCATTAATCTTGAAATGTAAGAGTTAAGTTTAAGACCCAAACATTTTAGAAGGAATGAAAACAGAATTAAAGCATCTGTTTAGCCTTTTTCCTCCTTATTGCTTTGTCTTATCTAGTGACAACTAAGCAATGTGATCTGATGAATGACTCTGAAAACTAAAATACCTTTTTAGGCATGCAGCCATATGGAATTTATAGGAAAAGATACGATTTCTAAATGTCTGATTAGTCCACTACATACCAAGTACAGAGTTTTCTTGTTCTACCAACAAAGAATGTATCTGTGTAAATCTGTACTCATTAAGCTAGGAATGAGATGGATTTAGAACCTGTAAATGCATTAAGCCTTGTTCCACACTGTGTTGCCCCTGTGGAGCTGTGTACACCAACAGAGAGGTTGAAGAGCTGCTCTTAATTGCTGGGTTTTTATGCTGGCATAAATGACTGTACACATGATGCTGTCTGCTTTCATTGTGCAGCCATGCAGTGTATTCTAAACTCAGCTGCCATTGAATGGATGAGTGAGACCCACTCAAACTTCTTTTTTTGATATTTTTCTTTCCAGAAGGCAACGTTATGGGTTTGCAACTTGTTTGCTATCCACAGCGTTTTCCTGCCCTTTGATTTTTAAATGTAAGTGATCTGTTTTAAACTTGCTTCCAAAAGGAGCCATTTCAGTCTCAGGGAAGGGCCTTCTAGCCTCTTGTTTTTCTTGCCACTTAAGAAATCCTCATTTGCTTTTTTCAAGGCATCCAGTTTGCCTGGTAAGTGCTTGATAGGCTGGCTCTTTCTTATGTACATTAGAAACCAGGTATTTGTTGTCGCTAAATAATTAACCCCTTTCTGTTTCTCAACAAGTCCTTTTCACTTTAACCAGGGCATGCTTGCTGGACACACGTATGCTGTTTTTTGGGCATATGCTGGTCAAGCAAGGAATTGCTATAACAAGAATCCAAACAGTGATTTTCAGCCAGGATGCCACCTAATATATGATTTACAAAATAAATCCAGAGATTTCAAATAGGAATCCAACATGTTGAAAACATTCTGTTCTGTTGTGGTCTTTCTGAGTTCTTTGCAACAGAGGAATTGCTGTGTTTTTCTGTAATCTAAGAGTGAAAGCTAAAAGTTGGCATTTTCAAGGGTTACCTTGAGTCTAATGAGGCTGAGAACCACTGTGATAGACGCATATAAAAAGTGCAAGCCTGAATCTTATATATGTGACTTAGTGGAACTACATTGTGCTTACTCATGTTTTGGACCTTTGCACAACAGTAGTTCTCATCCTTGGAGACTGACTCCATTTCAAGAGACAATTCCTGGTTGTTTTTGTTTTGTCTGTGCCTGTTTTACACCTAGCCTGGCTTAAGTTGTGTGAGTTGGTGTTAGGGATCCATCCTTGCAGGGACAAAACCTTGGAAAGTAATTCTTTAAGTCATCACCCTAAGGTATGGCACAAACATGAGGACCCATCTCCTATGTTATTGTCCTGCAGTTTCCATTATTTAGTTTATGAACTTTATGGGGAAGCAAAGGGTATGTGTCTTCTATGTCTGTAAAGTATACTGTAATCTTAGGTGCTAGCTGAATGTTTGGTAATGTTGAGAGTGATGATAATGTCTAATGCCAATCCTACCAGTAGACAGAAATATGAAAGACTAGCTGCCAATTACCCATCAAGAATGATGGGGGGTGGGCCCCCCACCCATCTGGGCCTACTCCCGTCTTCCCCCCTGCCACTTGGGGTTTGGGCCCGCTCCTCACCGCAACCCAATGCAGGGGAGGACCGGGTCCAAATGCAGGAGATACAAGGAGAAGAAATTCTTTTAAGTGCATAAGCATGACTGTTAAGTCAGGTTAATGAACCAGAGAATTTGGACTTATTCAAAATCAACCTAGTTGGGATTCTACTTAAATGGTATTTTTTAAACCTGGTGGGAAGAGTTGCACAAGCAGCCTGTTAAAATTACTAGATACAACCTATTTAGGAAGGATTGAGTGGACCAAGAAGATGGGTAGGACTCTCAAATGTTGAAACCTGTTTCACAGTCTCTGACTGCTGAAAAACAAATTTTGAATGCTTATGGATCAGTGCCCTGATAAAATGTTAAAGTACTTACTAGTGTTTGCCACCAAGAGGAAAATCACGCTGGAGTACAGGATGAGCAGTTACTAGAACTCCTTTAAAATACAGAGGGAAGAAGAAGCTGCATTATCATAGAGAATGTCAATACCTCCTGGATGTCTGGTATTGTCAGCAATTGTCAAAATGTTATAACTCAAAACATTCTCTTCAACAGGTGAAATTCTGTATTAGGCTTTCATCTTAACAGATAGAGGAGTTCAACACAGAGCTACAAACCACTGGTTCCTTAGGTGCAATGGATCATGACTGGATTACATTTGGTATGTGCAAACATAATAAAGTCAAAATTGGTAACTTTAAGTCTTGTGTTTTAGCAGGTCCAGTTTCACAGCTGAAAATGACTGAGCTGAATCAGCAAAGAGAGAGGAATTTAAACAGAAAAATGTGAATGTTGAATGGGAAATGTTTAAGTATATGCTAGCAAATATACGCCCTATAATCAAAGAAGAAGGCTACACTCACTTAAAATAAATCATTCTGGCTATAAAAAAAAAAAAAAAAAAAAAAAAAAAAAAACCAACAAAATGAAACAGCCACTCACTCTTCCCCCTTCCTCCAACCTATAAATAACTTAGCAGTTAAAAAAAAGTTGTTGGCAATATCTAGAAATTAGATGCTAAGAACTATAGAAAATGAATAAGAGAAATAAAATCATGGTTACAACAAAAAAGAATACTGAGGAGTTCAAGTATATCTGGGATAAAATGGTAGAATTACCAAAACCAATGCAGAATGTTTAATAAATGTTTCTGTTCTGCATGGAGGAGGGAATCCAGATGATGCATCCATATCGTGACAAAATAATTTCCCTTGTAGCAGTAACTAAGGAGACATGGTTTGTTTGTTTTCCAATATCTACTCAAGTTAGACGCCTTTTAAATAAGGAAGTCTGGATAACTTGCATGCAACAATTTTTAAATGATCTGACCATGAATACCCATTTTCAATCAACCTTGAAACACTGACGAAGTTTCAGAAGACTAGATGAAAATTAATGTTGGGCTAGCATTAAGGAGGAAGTGAAGTATCCTGGATAATCATAGACCTTGTCAGCCTGACACTAATCTCAGGGAAAATCCTGGAATGTCTGATACAGGATTTGATTAATCAAAAAGTAAACTAAGATAATTTCAGCCATTTAATATCAATTCATGGAAAATAGATCCTGCTTAACTTGACAGCTTTTT